CTTGATCATGGGATCAAAATTCAGACGCTTGGCAGCTGACTCATACTTATGACTGTGGCGGCGTCCCGGGGTGTGTGTGTGTGTGTGTGTGTGTGTGTCACATGGCCTCTTTTATGACCTTTTGGCAAGCAAAACCAATGGAAAAACCAGGTTTGCTTAACAAACGGGTGACTTAACTTATCCACCGCTGTGATTCAGTTAAATACGGTGACAAGGAAGGTCACAAACGGGGCAAAACTCAGTTAGCAAATGTCTCGCTCAACAGCAGAAATTTTGGGCTCCTTTGGGGTCGTAAGCTGAGGATGGCTTCTGATTGTGGGAAGCCCGCTGGAAAAACCATAAACGGTGATCCCAGGAGCCCAAGACACAGCCATCTCTATAAAGACATCCCCAACTTTTGATCACGTGATGGGGGTGTGGGAGGGAATGCTGCATCCATCGTAAGAGTGAGCACTTGATTCTAAGTTACTTTTTTCAGTGCTGTTGCAAGTCTGAATGGTTTTAAATCGAGGGCTATCGGTAATTCTGTGTTTGAAACACGCGAGAGGATCCCAGCCATGTGGCCTCACCTTTTGTACAGACCAATAACAGGTAGATTTTAATCATCCTCCACCAGTGCTCCTCCACAGGTTTTTTTCTTCTGGGCTCTAGAGACATTCCTAGGAACGAAGGCAATTCGAGCCCTTTGCTCTGTGCCATTCCAACGTCAACCACTGTGGTCTGACAATTTGGTATAGTGGTGAAGGTGCTGGTCTAAAAACCAGGAAACTATGAGTATGAAAATCAGCTCGACGAACTTGGACCAATCTCTAGGACAGAGTGAGTTCTAGTTCCTCCTCAAGCACAAAAGCTGGCTGAGTAACACTGGGCCAATCACCAGGAGACTGTTAGTTCTAGCTCCTCCTCAGGCATAAAAGCCTACTAAGTGTCATGTCCCTGGTGGAAATTGACTCTGAGGGAGAGGAGAAACAGCTGACAGGGAGTGGAAGTGTGGCTCCAGAGGTTGTGGAGGAGGCTGGGGAAGGGCAGAGGCCGGCTGGGCAGTCCGAGGAGGATCCAGGCCCATCCCCTCTCCATCCTAGGGCATGCAGGGAGGAGAGGATAAGGGAGAGACGTGGTCTACTCAGGAGGAGAGGGCCTTGATCCTCTTCACGGGCTGCAGCTGTGACAACTGAATAAGAGGAGGGACATGCGTACGGCTGGAAACCAAGCATGGAAATATCTCTAGTTTATGGTTCCTTTCTGAATTTGGCATCCTTCCCAGTGTGTGTTGTTATCTGTGGACTCCTCCAGCCCTTATCTTGCCTGGTTTGTGTTGCTTTTTTCCTCCTTCTTGGAACTGTGTGGGAGTTTCTTGTCTTCCGTCAAGGATATTTGGAGTTTGGAAGCAAAGTGAAGAAATCGAAGGGGCTTCGGCGGGTTTTTGTGACTGTGTTTATTTTGTATCCCCACCCTGGGTCATCACACTAAGCGACCTTGGGCCAATCACCAGGTGACAGTGAGTTCTAGTCCCTCCTCA